GCATTTTCAGGGATCTTTTAAAGTAGGGGGATATTCCAAATTGTGATCCTATATCTGCAATCAAAATGGTAAAGTTCATTCTACCACTTCATTCTCCTGGACCAGATCTCAGGCTCTTGTGTTTCATTTCAATTGTGGGTAAAAACTCAGAAACCAAATTACGCTTTTGACAAGCTAGGCTCAGGGTTTGTTTGTTTTTTAGTAAATTTGTAAGCTGAAGCTGGGAAAGTATCTAGAGCCATGATCACATGTAGCAGGTTTCCTTCCCTACCTTAACCCACACCTTTCTCTTTCTCAGTCCGATGACTCTATCCCCCAAGTCCACTTCTGCGGGTTTGGGTTCAAGCACCACCTATGGCTTTCTACTTCTGTTTATAATGTAACTAGTTTCTAATCCTCGTGATTGCAAAGAAAATGTGTGAGTACAGAAAGAGCAAGCCTGCTGGACATTCAGAAGTCAAAAAGACTTCAAGGCTATCAGCCAATTCTTCAGAGCTGCTCCTTCTGTGCCCCCCCCCAGTTTAGAAGATTCTCTGCCCCCCTTTATATAGTGCCCATCTGCATTGTTACTAGACGTGCACATGGCATTTACTTGCTATTCTGGGAACAGGAGGGTGCCCCAAAGGGCAAGTGCCGTGGTGTGGCTTCATTCCCACCTTGCTAGCTCTTCACCCTTTGGTGAGAGCTGGGCATTTGCAGGCAGCTGCGGGATATGCTTGTGAATAGAGTACTTCACAGGCTTTCCTCCACCCCTCCTAAGAGATTGTTAAGGGCTTGATCTAGTGCAATCATGCAAAATGCCATCAACATTATTTAAAATTTTGTGTTTATGTTTTTAATGTATTGTATTGTTTCATCTATGTTTGTAAGCCACCTTGAGCTCTGTAAGGAAGAAAGGGGGCTAATACGTTTTCAATGGATAAATAAAAATCTGCTGAAATCTGGATAACATTCCATTTCAGCAGTATCCTTCATTAAAAGAAACCGGTCTGGTGGGGATGGGTTGCCCCTCAATCTTATCCTAGTGAGAGAAAGTGAGTCTTCCTCCTCAGTAGTAGACATTTGTGCTGGCAGTTCTAAGAAATATGGCTTTCCTACACAGTCAGCAGCATGTAATATTCATTGCTTGGGGGGGGGGGGACTGCCAGCCATTTTGTTTAAAAATGGAAGGTAGACTCTTTGGGTAGAAGAATATATTTGCAAATAGGTTTTTAAGGTACAAACGTAATTTAGTGAAGACGAAAATGTACAGTTCCAGCCTTCACGTGTTGCCTTTTGGTTGATCTGTTTCTTCTGCGCTATTTTTCATTTATACATTTATTGCGGGGGTGTGTGTTGAAGGACAGAATCAGCAGGCAGTGCATGTTTGTTTCTTCCTTGCACATGGCCCCAACCTGCTGCTCCCTCTTCCTTATCTGGTCTTTGGAAAAGCCTGGCTCATAGCCTGGCTTTGGGGGAAAGGGTGCTAAGCACCCCCATGCAATGAAACTTCTTTTCTACAGAGTCTCCCCTGCATGTATCCCCCACCTCTTAACATTGCAAGGCAAATAGAAATCTGGGAGTCCCATCTTTGTCTTGTAATGAGTAGTTCCTTCGTTTCAGAATATGTACTCTGATACATAAGGAAGATAAATGGAGTGTTAAAATTTGATTGGCTAGAGAAGGGTACTTTCGGGGGTTTCTGCACAGCTTGTTCCCTCAGAGCTAGCCATATCCCCAGCATCTGGAAATGATTTCCAGGGAGATGGCATTTTGCTCCACCAGCAGACCAACGGCGTATACTATTGCCCGGTCACATTTTGGAGATCAGTAATCATACAATGGCAAATGCAGTGCTGATGGCCCAGCTATGAAGAAGAGTACATATATCTGCAACAACATATTAGAATGAGAGAAGGAAACAGGTTCTGGTGCCCAATAGGAGATAGCTGGCTGAAAGGGAATGCTGGGAAGAATGAGACTTCAGGATCCGGCAGGAGAAGATAGGAGGGCCATTATGCCTACAGTAAGAAGAAAAGGGATTTTATTTTGCTCAGGGCATCAAAATGCCTATTTTTTCAACAGCCAACTTTTTGCATCTAATTTGCTTATGTAGGCTAAAGTGGTCACATATTTCTTCACTGCTTTTTCCTACTTTGTCTGTTTCTTATGTCTACCTTTATATTGAAAGAAGGGCTAAACCTTTTCACAGGGCTAGCTGGGAATCCATCAACAACCAGCAATGACCTAAGGTCACTTTTCTCTGTGTGTGGTAAAACTGAAGTGGTGTTCTTTAGGGATTTGTCCTCCTATTGTGAAGATGAAGGCTCTTTTAAACATAAGGCTGTGAAGGCAAAGAACTCCCCCAGGGGAGTTTGTACTCACACAGCATCTTGTTGCAGCAAGGTGGTGACCTATGCAAAGCACCTCTGGGTGCTTATCTAGCATGGCAGAAACTGGGAGTCTGGACAGGTGTTATGCTGCCATTCTGACTCCACAAAGCTGCTTTGCATGGGCAGTAGCCCAGTTTAAACAGATGTCATGCAGCATGCAGATCTCACGGGAAGTGCTTTTGTCTTGCCAACATGACATTAAATCAGGGCTCAGTGACAGTAAATATAAATGCAGTCTTTAAGGAGCCTGAGCCCTCCATGTACTAAGTATGGTGCAAGAAGCCTTGCAGGATATCCCGAACTTGTGTAGGGTTGTTTGGCTCCACTGAGGGCAATTGCGTGATTGCTTGAGTCCCCCCCACTCCACAAAGCCGTCTCCTGGATTAGTTAATGCAACACATGTATAGCAAAAGTATACTGTCTGTATATGATTTGCTATTTCAAAGACTACCCGAAGCTTCCTTTCTAGCTTCTACTACACTGTATCCCTGACCTACCTAGAGCAGATTTTTCCAGATTGGAGTCTAGGAACCCTTGGGGCCTGCAAGGGTACTCCAGGAGGTCCACTAGCCCTTTGTAAGGACAGAGGGTGGAACCCCTTTCATGCCCACCCAATTAATATAAGAACAGGAACCCCCTCCCCCCAAATTTAAAAAAGGGCAGAGGCTCTGCACCTCCAGGGAAAACACGGATTTTTTGGGGGTTTTTTTTGCATTCCTCTATGTTCTGGAAGCCCCTTCTGAGCTGCATGGATTGGTGTGATGGGTGTGTGTGAGAGAGAGGTTATGCCTTCTCTCTCATCTGCAAGCATGGCTCCAACTGATGATTTTACCACTTTCCCCTCTTTATAGTAACTCTCTGACCCACACAGCTACTCCATCAGAGTTTCTACAGTCCCACAAATGATCTTTTTAGGGATCAGAAGGGGCTTCTAAAACATATACCCCTCCCCCCCAAAAAACCACTTGGTTTGTGCAGGTATAGGTGGATATAGGCCAGTAATAGACAATGGAGATTTCAGTTGAATACCAGAAGTTCAGGTTATGTGAATTTATGGCTGTTTTCAGTCTCCATGAACAGTTCTGAAAAGTTTTTTACAGTTTCCTTCCCCCTACTGTTTGTTCAGCTATCCTCTTTCTAGAATTTATTGACTAAATAACTTGCCTTCTGTGGTACAGTCAAAATAATGAGAATGACTAAGACTTGGGTCAGGTACTTTTGAGTTTTGACACTATAGAATCAGATGGCCTCCATGACCTGACCATGTGCACTTTATACATTGTACTTAAAACTTGACTTGGCTATTGAAGTGTAGCTGATATCAGTCTGATTAGGGATGCTCCAACACCTGCCAGTTCAGCTCACAGCACATTTACCAATGGTGATCAGACAGCCAATTAATCAGTGGGCTCTTATGCTACCCATTTGTGTAAATTTGCAGGAAAACATTTACTTGCAGCCATCAGAAACCAACTCCCAGCTGATGAAGGATCATCTGGGAATCAGGTTATGATCTTCTGCTGGGTTTTGTTCAGTACTCAAAGTTTTTCTTTGTCGGGGGGGGGGGGTTTGGGGACTTCTGGTTTCACATTCTGGGTATTTTGCTGCCTCCCAGAATTACTGAGATGCAGCAAACGTAGCAGGGTCAGGAGACTCAAAAGCCCATGTGATTTTCCTTCTTTTCCATCTCAAGCTGTCAACTCTTGACTGCAGGGGAGAGCAGCACTCTGTCCTCTTTCTTCTGCAGCAGATATTAAAAAGCGTTGCTTTTCTCAGTGCCCAGTTTACAGAGAAGGAAAGCGAAACCAGCTTTTTCTCCTGGTGCTTTTGCAACTTCACTATCCATTTTGCTGGGATGTGTGTATCAGAACTCAACTTCCAGTTGATTACCAATCAGCTGTGAATTGGCTTCTGACCAACAGACAGCTGCAGACTTGTTCAGCAGCTGTTCCAGTTCCTCAGCGCAATCCTAACATATCCATGATTGGTTAGTCTGATTGTGAGTACTGAACTGCTAGCAGGTTCACTGAGAAATGCCCTACACCCCTATTTCTAATTGGTTGGATTCTTCTGATGATCTCCACGGACAGAAACAAGAGTAATTTTCACCAATGCTCACCTCTCTTCTGTGTGTCCTCAAGGCCCCTTGCCTCTGGAGCAGCATTTCAAGGGACATTCACAGAGATCATGCACATGTGCCACCTCCTTCGCCACCCAGCAAAGCAAATTATTTTGCCTTCAGTTTTGTAGCAAATGTTAGCAGGCTGTGTCCTGGCAAATGAAACTGTTTCCAGCGCTCACACCAATAACTAGCATAACCCACAGGCAACTCCAGCTGACAATTCAGAGTTGAAATAGATTTCATGACATATTTTATACTTCGCTCTTCCATGTGATACTCATAGGCCTGGAAATTCTTTTAAAAAACTTTTTGGCTCAAGTTTGTTGCTGTAATTGGAATTCCTGAATTTGCTTCCTTCTTGATGTTCAAAAAGCACTTCCATTGATGTTGTGTATCATGTACATTTGATTTAATTAATTAGTTAAGAGCAATTTAATTAAAATATCTTTAACGGCTTGGCAGCCAGCCTAGTAAGAATTAATGTTTTTCTTCTGTTCTGATTTCAGAAATGCACCTCGTCTCCACAGCACACTTACAGCCTGCCAGAGCTCTACAGAACGGAAGACTATTTTCCTATCAAGTACATAGGTAGCAAATATCAAAACCACTAGGTCCTGCATTTAAGTTATCGATAGTTTAGCCAAATCAGTCGAAAGATATGTGTAGTGCTATACAAAGTAAAAAAAACTGGAAGAATGGCAGCATTTCTACCATGTACTGACTTTGATGAATAGTTCTCAGCCAGGAGAACTAAATTAGTATGCTTGCCTGTCAAAAAACACAACATTCCAATGAAAAGTCCTAGTTTTGAACCACTGATGTTCTCCTGCATTCGGACTTCATGCCTGGGACAAACCATATTTATTGTCATACTTGCCGGTTCTCTCCCTCCTCCTGTTGGGGAGTACTACTGACTTCTTGATTTTAGCACTGTTAAGCTTAACTCAAATTTATATTTAGTGTAATGTCCAAGTGTAGGAGCCTGGACGACTTGGTATGCATTTCCTTTCCACAAACGGGGAGCAGAATCCTGGTTTGTGAGGAAGAAGCAAAGTACAGATTGTGCAGGTACCGACATTGGGATGTCACGTTGCTAGCTCTTTGCTTTTGGTTCTGTTTTGACACTTGAGACATGTTTGCACATATAAGCATCAAGAGATGGCATATTTGAGATGTCTCGGTTTGATGAACCTTACTTTAAATACTTCTCTGATTGCACTGAACAAGCTATTTTCTCACTTTAGATACAACTAAAACTACCATTTATACAAAGAATGTCTCAGTTATGTTTTTGAATGTATGCAGTGCAGTGCCAAAATTCCATTTTGAAAGCAGCTCTCGCAAGTGCTGTACAGACAACCCATCCACACACTGACTGGATATGCAGGAAGGGAAAGTGGGCACAAGCACACTGGCCCCACCTCACAATTGCCACGTTGTCTGTGCAGTGTAAATGCACAGAATAAGTGGCCACATATGCATTCTGTCCCCATGATCACAGGGAGGAAGTGCATGTAAAGACACCACCTCTGTTCCTCTGTTTGTACTGCACAGATGACTGTGCAATGGGTGTGTGCGTGTGTGTGATTGTGGCCTCTCAGCACAGTCAGTCAACATGGGGGTGGGTTGTCTGCATAGGGCTGAAGTGACATATTTGAATTCAAACATAAACAAGAGTCCATTTTTTTTCACCCATGTCACAGGTATTCAGAATTCCTATATAATATAGTTTGAATGGTACAAATAAAATTCTGGAAAATGTGTTCAGCTTTTTGTTGCATCAGCATGCCATCGATATGATGTTAAAATGCATAATTTATACAAAGGAACTGCTACTACACCATCCCCAGATATCACTCCTCTTTTTGACAGGTTTGTCCAAATTTCAGTCATAAAGGTGTAAGTATAACTAATACAGTGTATGCAAACCATCAACACCAGAGTCTGCCATATCAAACATTAAGGCACACACATATAGCTAGCATTATTTATTCCTTTCCCAAATCTGAGTCCCTAAGAAATTATGGAAGTCCTTTTATAGTAAATGCTCTCTTATTCATTTGAATAGAGGCAATTATCTGCACATGCTTTCTTGTATGCATAGATCTGCTGTCCCAACTGATTGAAGTGAATTAGTTAGTATGTATTAGTTCTGCAAATGCCTAGGAGAACAGCTGTGCAGACAACTGTCACTGTAGATGATATGAGATTCCAAGAACTTAGGGCCTGTATCTCACTTCAGACTTTCCAAGTCGACTTTGCTTACAGCAGCTAATAGACTGCCTGGAACACAACTGTACATGTTGACAGTATTACTGATAAATCATCAGAAATGCAGATACAATAGCTGCATCCTTTAACATGAAATCAAGGAACATGCACTGATTTCCCTCCACTGTAGTTAATGGCTAATTGTGTAGTCCAACAAAAGGTTCCCTTAATATCCAAAAGCCTTTTTAAAAAAATTAGAACTGCAGTGCAAATGGCTGCAGTTTGAAGACAAGTAAATGGTGGGCAGCACAACATGATAAAAATTTAGAGCCCATTCAAATGCTCGTGGAAAATTCATAGTGCTGTCCTCAGTGTAGCAGCCATTAGAATGCACAAGCTTGTCTAAAAGTGCTTCCCCCATCAAAATCAGTTTCAGAAACTAACTCATCAGAGCCTCACATGAGAGAGGGTGACAAAACATAACTGCACCATTATGAGGTACCAGTGCAAGAAAATACTTTGGTCAGGAAAGGAAGGGGCCTGAACGATGGGGGTTGGGTTTATTGGGCTTTCAGGGAACAATCGCCAACAGGCCTCCACAGAAGTAAGTCCCATTTTATCCAGTGGTATTTAGTTCCTTGCAGCCTTCATCACCCTTCATGCACGTTATCAATTGCCCAGGAACAGCAAGTAACTTCTGAGCTGTAGTTTATCCATTTTGTTCCAACATCATCTTGTACCTCCAAGTTTGTACCAAAAAAGCCTTTCATAATTAAAGCTGACACTTACCTTCTTTGTAAAAGCAGCATTTAATACATAACTTCAGAAAAAGTTTATATTTTTATGGGGTTTTGCCTGGAGATGCATATATATATATATCAACTTCCCCAAGTCATAACCACCCATAATTTCTTTGTCATTACTTGTTCCTAGAAAAGATGAATCTTTGACTCCAAAATATCCTAACACAAGGAACAAAAATTGGAGATATTTCAAAGATTTCCTCCAGAAAAATGAGGTCTCATGTTGTTCAGTAGTTAGTCAACTTAAAGAACAGTTTGCCTACAAAGGCAAAAATGAGAGACTGGATTCCCCCACCCCCACAAACACACGTTTAATTGTGCCACATAGGAAACCTGGTTACAGCAGAAAAAACATATCTCAGCAGTACTGTTCTGTCCCTAGTAGAAAGTGCTTCATGCCTAATGGCATATCATTATGCTTTTCTTTAACGTTTTACTGACAAATGCATGGACTGTTTTAGAAACCCAAGGCATCCTAACACCCTCCCAAGTTACTTAAGTGTACTACAGCCTGTTCTCATGCCACACACTGCATCTGCCTGAAACACTCAAGCAGTACCTCCTCAAAGCTACCATGCATTCACAACTCTATAGTTGAAACTCATCTCACAGATGAAATCACTAGGACCAGCAAGCTTTAATGACAGCCTACTTGAAGTAAGTGCCAAAGAAAGGCCAACATGGGGCACTCGAAGTACTTCGAAGTCTATCTGACTTCAACAGGCGAGGAAATAAAGAAGCACAGGCATAACTTTCCCACTGAATGCAATGGAGCTCAAAAAGGGTTACATTTGGCTAGATGGTGGCCTAAATTTACTCATCAGCCTTGCACATTTCCATCCCATCTATTTACTTTCGTTACAGTTTCATATTGACAGACTTTGGTTGGCATTAGGATGCTTCAGTAGATTCCCCCCCCCCAATTTCTTACAAATGCATCAAGAGAAAGAACCAGAACCAAAACCACTCCTATTTTTTCCTTTCAACAAAAACCAGCTTAACAAAATACATTTTCCAAAAAAACAACAGGAAAGCAGACCTTATAATAAAGCAAATGTTTACATTAAGCACAATACAGCAATTTATTTAGATGCTTAAATGAATACAAAGGGGAAATAAAGATCACAAAATTATCCATACTACAACAATGTGTCATATATTAGATGGTATAAATGAATACAACACCATGTTGGTGTTAACTAAAGATAAAACTAAATATCCAAAAATGCAGCACTCATTTCCGTATGCTGCTTTAACACAGTACACTTTTATACAGATCTAAAAGGTGTCAAAATTAGTAGCTGCAAACTTGTTTCTTGCATGTGATTTTTTTAGCTTAAAAGATTTCAGAAAATGGCTCTGAAATTCATAGTCATCAGTTGTAATGTCAAGGATATTCAAGAACAAGAAAATTCTATAATACAATAGAGTCCAGATATACTTTTATGTTGCTGGCCTCTGTTTTGAGATTGTACAAGGTTATGTGCAAAAACTAAGTCTGTCAAAAGTCATACTATGCAGTTTCAAGCTTTTTGCTAGGTAAACTAGATACAGCATTTATTACACAGCAGGGCAACACTAAAAAAAAAAAGAACCAAATCTATGATGGGTACACAAGAACAATAGCATAAGCATCACTTGAATAGGTCTAAAAGACTGTACAAATATACATTTCAACTATTCAGAATGATACATGAAAAAAACCAATTTTCCCAGAGTCTACTATACACATTGAACTGGTAGCTTGTATGTTGGCCCTATAACTACCATGTGGAAAAGGGTAATGTTTAAAAAGACATACAGCTGAACATATACAGAGTGAAATAAATGTTGAAAATGCCGATAAAATAAACCTTTACTTTTCTTCAGTGAGCAAGTGGGAGCCACCAGCGTATCTGTTTTCACATTAAGTTACTGTGCTCGTCATCACAGCAGATACTCTTGAGTGAGAATTGCCAACAGGATACTTTGAAATAAGAAATGGAATTGGTATGGCCACCTCACAGCTCCTAGCCAGATGACCTTGCACTTAGAAGGCAGTACCAGTAACAATGAACTTCAGCAGTCCTGTAATGAAAGTGTTTAGACAGTTATCAAGTGGAGGATAACAGAGGCTAGAGAGTTGAACAGCTTATGCTTGCTGGCTACTCAGCTCTACCCCAGTTAGGCTGCTATGCATTGATTCTGTAACCCCATCAGTCACACTGTCAAACTGATCTCCATCTTCACTGTCAATTGTGCTATTCTGCCACTCCATTTGCTGATTTGATAGGCTCTCTTCCATTTCTGTTGCATTTTTCCACTGTGACTGGTCCTTAGACCAAAACTCATCCACTTTTCCATAGGAACTATTCTTCCACTTTGTCTGTTCTTCATCACTCTCAGAGGCAACACCTTTAGTTTCTGCAACAGGTTTACTATTACTAACATCTTCACTTTGGGATGATTCATCTGTCCAAATTTCCGGTTTCACTTCAGATGTATTATCTTCAAAGTCAGATGGTTGCTGAGAACCAGGTCCACTATCAGATGGTGATGCTTCGTCTTTCCATTCAATAGCATCATCTTGATCTACTTGGTCACCTTCACTGTCAGAACCATCAGCTACCAGTTTTGACGGTTCTGTATTACAAGTGTCTTTATGTTTTGGGTCTCTTTCCTCTTCTTTTTGGTCTGTTTTTTCTGGAGACACTAAGGTGGCTTCCTCAGTTGCCTCCTTGGGTATGCTTTCACCTGGGTTCTCATTTATGCTATTAATGGAGGCTTTATGACCAGAATTGGACATGGATTCTGGGAATGGACTATTGCTTTCATTGAATTCCTCTTCTATATTCTCGTAACTGTCTGAGGAACTTTCATTATCTTTATCTAAGTTTATTTTTTTATCAACAGTTTTGCTAGCATTGACTCTAGAATTCTCTTCATCGTGGTTTTCAAAAAGCCACTCCGCATCAAAATCCATTTCATGTTTAACCTTATTTAACTCTTTCATGTTGAATCCTAGCAGGACTCCCAGTTTATACCTTTCACAATCTCGGACACATTTCTTCCTTTTGTTGCTGAAGTGTGAAGCAATGTCAGATTTCCAAAGCCAAAGACTGGCAGCTAACTTTTCGATCTCTCTCCTACTGGGGTAGGGTTGCTTATTGAAATACTTTGTGAGAAATGTTTTTCTGGCTTCATAAGAATCATCCTCATGACCCTTGGGATCTAAAGCTAGAACTACAGGTTCTTCAGGCTTCTCCTCAAAGACAGAAGGGGAGTCATCATCATCCATTTTTCTTTTCTTCATTAAAGAAAATTCCATGTGTTCATAAGTACGTTTTACTGGTCCTGCACTGGGAGACTGATTTAGTCGAGAGGGCACATTAGATTTGTCTTGACCATTTTGGGTCTTCCCAACACCTCTGCAGTGGACAAGATGCAGTGTTATAGTCGAGGCAGTCATATTACTGGTATACACTCCAAGACAATGAATACATTTGTATGTGAGCTTTTTCTCTACTGGATGAACTGTTTGAATAACTTGATGCCTCTCCCTTAAGTGATGTGCCAGCGCATCAGAGATGGGTCCTTTTAAGATTGAAAAGCACAAGGGACAGAGTGTTTTCTCTACATCTTTTTTGTAGGGAACTGCAGCTTGAGGAGAACTTTTTACGGGTATATCTGCTTTCTCCTGAATTTTTGGCTGTGGTTTTGGAGGAACTGGAGGTGTATTTTGGGCATGGTAAGCTACTGATTCAGCAGGTGCATCTCTCAAGTTGTAAGTTGTTACAAGTAAATGTATATTGGTGTGACTACCTTGCTGCAACGTCAGATCAAAGGTTAAAGTGGAATCAGTTTTAGGTCCCATTTCTTCATCAACATGAACCATTCGCATATGAGCAGCCATCTTTTCAACATCATTGAAAGTTGAACGGCAGTAGGGACAAGACAGACCATGGATCAACATGTGGTTAAGCAATGTGTCAGTAGGCAAGTA